CATACACAACAGACTCACACGTGAACAATCGTAACTTTTTCACACTGACAATAATGAGAACGAGGCAGAATCTGCAACAGTTTCAGGATGATCTGACCCGATCTGATCCAACCAATGTTCCCTCTAAGTTGCGCGCGTGCGCAATTGCGCAGTGCTTTTAGGGTGTCAGCGCACAGACAACTTTTTCCTGCACACAATGAAAATCCAGCGTCCTGTGCCTCCGGCACAAACGACGCGGGCGCATATTTCAACAGTGAATGGACTACAGTGGATCTACGCAGGCTTCATTCTCTAAATAGAAAAAGTCAGATCCGAAAGCTCTCTGTCTCTGACCATGAGGTACACTGTCCGAGTGCGGGAGAAGCGCCCGACACAGAAGTCTGAAGCTGCTTTTGATCCAGAACAGGGCTCGGACCAACTACACCCTGCACACCGTGAACTCGCACACTTGGTCTTGCCGCGGACTTGCGAGTGGTGTCTCACGTGCACTACACCAGCTGCAGTGTGTGCATGGAGCCACAAACACACCTAACCCGCAAGCACTTATGTAGGGAAGACCAGGTCTGGTCAGACCAGCGTCCCCTTCAGTTTAAAACAAAGTTTCCTATTGCTGAGTACAGTTGGTTTTGTGGAAATAAGACTATTATTATCTTAGATAATTATTGGTCTATGGATCTTATTTTATAAAGCCATATGACTAAATAAAACCATGTATACTATGTGTTAATAAACTCTAAACAGTCTATATTAAATATGAAAAGACAAAATCCACTTTGAATATTTTTTTGTTTTTAGTGCAATTCACCAAATATGTTCTACTTTAAAGGAGCAGTATGTAAAAATCTGGCCAAAAGTGGTACTGCAGTCAGAGTCAATATTTTGTAGTCCCCTCCCATTGTCCCTGACTCAGGTTGTTAGATACACACCAAATCCAGCAGCAAACACAGGGAATTATTTTATCAGTTGTTTGTCTCCATGCACGTTGCCATGATAGCCGTGCTAATGTTGAATTGAATGTTTTTTTATTTAATGTGAACATTTGAGATGATAAAAAAAATATAAGCAATGTAATTATACATTGATTATGCAAAATAAATAAGCAATTGTTGTCCAAAATATGAGTGGGAAGAATGGATGTTGGAACATATTTCTTGTGTACAGGACGTGTGTACAGGAGGTGCGTACAGGAGGTGCGTACAGGAGGTGAATGGTTTTCAACAGAGATCTCTCGCTCAGAGTGTTCCACGTGCCGCTCAGGAGGTTTGTGTTTTTGCCCTGACCCATGAAAAATTAGAGGGAACATTGAGTCCAACTACTATCACACGTTTCAACTAAACTTATTCAGGGAAAAAGACTCAAATAAATCTAAGTCCAGCGCCTAAGACCTCTCGGCCACACTACCTTTTGGAGCTGTATTTGTATGCAGGTAAAGCTCGAGTAAATATTACGGCCAATATGCTATTGAGCCTGATCGTTTCCTTTCAGAGTATTGTCAGTCTACTGCTGTGGCCGAGAGATTAAGGCGATGGTCTCGAAATCCATTGGGCTTTCCCTGCACAGGTTCCAATCCTGTCAGCAACGTGATTTAACGTATGTCAATGTGTTCTTGACAAGTACTCATTTGCTTGATTCCTGAGCTCTGGTAACTTGAAGAAGGGATGGAACTCAATGACACACTACATTCTTAGCATGCATGAGGTACTTGGTTAAATCAATCAGTCATTCCAACATTTGTCATGGTTCTGATGTTTTTTTCAATGTTGTTGGTCAATCTTTGGTTGATTCAACTTAATTAACCAGAGAAGCCTGCTAGCTGGAATTTAGCTCCAGTAGTATTCCATCTTATAATTGCACATCTTGAAAACAAGTTGTTGTATAACCAAACTTTAAAACAATATACTTAACCCACCGAGATGAAGTATCTTTTTAAAATGAAAAGGTTTCTACTACTGTCAGCCTGCAGTGGTTCTTGCCCACACTGGTTACCGTGACACCCACCCCTACATGCCTTATCATACTTTTTATTCTTCATGTTAATAAATATGTTCATAAATGGTGATAAAGTCCATGTGTCCGGGATCATCACCACGGTCCTTATACTCTCCTTCATTGGCCAAAAAAACTCTAAAAACCCAAACGTAAGTAAATAAAAAACAAAATAATATTTGATCCATTAAAACCAAAGCGATCGTTCCTGAAACATAAACATGCATGTGGACTTCACCGTAACTAATAATATGAACTCACTGTATTAAATGTTACCATCTGTTACTGCTTCGATTCAAAACCTCAGAATGCCACTAACGATGAAATAATAAAAGGCATTAATCTTGTGCTTGGACTTGTTGTAACGCAATCGTGGACAGTTTCTTCTTGTTCATCTGAGTCAGCGCTGCAGCTCATCCAGACTCCGTTGCCCATTGAGCTGTTTTCCTTCAGCTCTAATGTGTTATGTCTTCTGCAAGTGTCCAGACTGGGCTCCACTTGTGTGAGGAGATTCCCTGGGCCAATCCCCACCATTAGCCCATGACTCCTTTTTCCAAGTCGCCATATAATTTGGGACTGTAAAAGTGCCTACAGTTTAACATTCTTGGTAAATCTCCAAGTGAGACTACCGTACGCTTGCTCCTGACAGACATCGACCACACCTGGGCTGCTCAGACTGCTCAGCGTTATTTAGTGTTCGGCTCTTTTACTCCAATGTAACGGCTTCATTAAATGAGCTTAAAATGGTCCATATAACAGCTCTGTACAATATAAAACAGTGTGGCTTTGTGAACGTGCGAAAGCAAACACAAGGCTTACAGAGTGTGGAGTTCACATCAGGGGTCTGAGTTACTGGAAGTGAAATGGTGTAATTCAGAAAAATGACACATTCAAATGCAAACGTTTTAGAAAGTCAAGTTAAATTTGCAGCGTTTCTCTCATCCTTTACCTCCAGTAGACTTCCTGAACTGAGCTCATGCCCGTGCCATACGCCCTTAATTCTATACACACAGCTTGAGTTATTGTTATAGGCAAAAAAGAGCCAGAAAGGTTTTTAGATTTGGATCTGCAAGAGTACTTGTCCATGTGGCACTAGGGCTAATGGTTAATGGCCTTATGCTAACAACAGTCTGTCTGCTGGATCCATGCAGCTGCAGCAGTGTGGTGGAATAGACCACTTCTATAACATTATACAATTTGTGTGTTGATGTTGGGCCTTAAACATATAAATGTATACATAATGGAATATGAGTGGTCAGGATGAGCAAAACACTCCCATCTAGTTGTAGGGGTTAGAAAATACATTCACATTTAAAATGATCAATAATGTTTGTATTATGTGGATTATACCAGTGATAATTGATACAAGTTTTTGGACCAGGAGCAGGAGATTGATGGTTACTGTTTACCAGCTGGTACCATGTAGTACAGTGAGAAACATAACATGACAAACAACATCAAGTTGATTTTTACAGTCTGCAGATAATATCTCGGTTTTAGAATATAAAAATAGCAGAGAGTGAGAAGTTTCTGTTTGGAGGTGAATGGATTATTATAAGCTTTTTGCTGCGTCCAATCCCTTTTCAAAACCAAATCAAGGGACATTTAGAACAGGGAAAAATGTGACGGTTATTGGGATTAATCACAACATTAATATGATTAATCACAATTCTATATTTGAATGGTTTGACAGCACTATCATAAACACACCGAACTTCTACATGAGGCGACAGGTGAACTTGAGACTGCTTCCAGGTGGTCGCTGTCGGCTGAAGCCCCCTCCACCAGCACAGCCCAGTGTGCTCTGTGTATGTGGTTCAGGTAAGTCCATTTATTATTTGGAGCAGGTCCCTTCTGGTGCCTTAAACTCGAGCTTTTGACCCAGTGGTATTTGCTGGAAGGCATTTAATAATGTCCATGTCCAGCTGAAGTGAGCTGTGCACAGCCCCCTGCACACATCGGCCTTGTTTCATTAGTGCAGCACACATGGCAGAGTGTGGATGGAGCACTAATATGCTCAGTGTTATGTTTCAGATTCCTGACCACTCGCACTGAACTCCCAGAAGAGGGCCTTGGCAACAAAGAGCCTGATGACAAATGTCTATAAATACAACAGGGGGCTTTGGTTGTCCTGTGGTTCACAGAGTGTTCATGTCAACAAACAAGGATTTACAATAATCATGATCTAGAGAAATATTGCTAATTCAGTGTTTAGTGATTTATCTTCACGAGGCCCATGTGGTTATTCTGCTGTATCAAAGGGCAGCATGGTGGTGCAGTGGTTAGAGCTTGTGCGTCGCAGCAAGAAGGTCCTGGGTTTGATTCTCGCCCTTCTGTGTGGAGTTGCCTGTTCTCCCCGTGTCTGCGTAGGTTTACGTTACCAATAAAATCATGTACAAGAGGTCTGACATGTGCCTCCTGTAGGCAACTCTGCTCCTATCTCTGTTTGGAGTGAGATTTGTTAAGCGCTTTGTGACTCTGGTCTGTGAAAGACGCTATATAAATAAAGATTACTTACTTACTGTTGTGTCATTGGACAAGATATAGGCATCCTCTCTACAGCCAGTCATACTGTTCACATGCAAGAATTGGATTAATGGCCAACTTTCATTTAAATCTTTTGAGTAAAATCTATGAAATGAATTGTGATATATGTGAAACCTTGACCTAATGTGCTTATATTTTCACAGTCTCAATTTCCCCAAATGATGGCTGTGAGTCGCGACTGCTTGTTCTTGCATATTTGCTTCATGAAACCAAGTAAACTGGACAAGACAAGAAGATGCCTTCGAGTGAGTGGGAAACTTCCAGGCTTATATTAGATGCATGTATAGGTTTGGTCATTGCATCGATATACCTACATACCGTATCTGCACCACAGCATGTGTTTCATGTTTTGGTTAAGCCAAACTGTTGAAGTATACTTGTCACTGTGGAAATGTGCAAATGACTTGTGAGCATGTGTGAGAATCAGCTGAGCATGTGTGAAGCACTCAACGTAAACAAGATGGTGCTTAGCTGCTGAGACAGGAGAGGTCTGTATGTCTGCCCCCGGCAACCCCCCCGCCCCCCGCCCCCGCCCCACCACACCACCCGGCACCCCGCCACACCGCCCCACCACGGTAGACACACACCCCCCACCGACCCAAAAACCAAACGCCCACGACCCCCCCCCGCCAACCGACAAACACCACGGCCCCCCCCGCCCCCCCCCCCCCCGCCCCCCGGCGCCCCCCGGCCCCCCCCCCCCCCCCGCCCCCGCCCCCCCCCCGCGGCGCGCCCCGCCCCCCCCGCCCCCGCGCCCCCCCGCCGCCCCCCCCCCCCCCCCCCCCCCCGCCCCCCCCCCCCCCCCCCCCCCCCCCCCCCGGCGCGCCACAGAGAACGGAACCCCCCCCCCGCCCCCCCGCCCCCCGCCCCCCCCGCCGCGGGCCCCCCCCGCCGCCGGCACCCCACCCCCCCCCCCCCCCACCCCTGCAACCCCCCAACCCCCCCCCCCCCAGCCCCACACAGGCCCCCCAGACAACCACACACACACACCAACACACCCCCACCCCATCCCTTCCTGCACCCAATAATTCGACCAACCAACCCAAATACACCCCCCCCCTCCCCCCCCCACCAACCAAGCAAAGAAACCCCCCCCCGCGCAACCACACCGACACAAACCCCACCCACCCCCAACCCCCAACCACCAACACAGCCCACCAACCACCCGACCACCCACCACACCCCGCCACACCAAGCAACCCTACACCCAACCCAACACCCACCCCCCCCACAACACACGACACCGCCCGCCATCCGACCACCCCCGCCCACCGACAACCCCACGCCCCACGCCACCCACCCGCACCCACAAGCCCACCACGCACATTACCGCCCCCGACCCCCCCACCCAACACACACCCGCCGCCAGCACCCCCACACAACCCCACACCACCCCACCACCCAAACACCCCCCACCCAACGCCCGCCCACCACCCCCGACCACCACCACGCCCCCCCAAACACCCCCCCCCAACCCCCCCCCCACCAACAACACCTCCGCCCAACCCGCCCCCAGCACCAGCTTACCACAACAAACCCATAGACAGAATACGAACACAACCCAACTCAAAATCACAAACACCACACCCACCAGTCTCATTTTGTCCCCTACACACAACTCCAAATCCCAACACTCCACTTCATCCAACAAAACCGCTTCGAAAACCACCGCATAACCGCCACGCAGGTACCCCCGCCCACCACATACACACAATAGCACCCACCTTCCCACATCGCTCAACCCATACAACCCCCCCCCCCCATAAACGCTATAAACCTCATGAGCCACCCCACGCCCCCCCCAGACCCCCGCCGCCCCGCCCCCCACCCGCACACACCCGCCCACCCCCGCCCCCCGCCCCCACCCAACCCCCACCCCCCACCCCCCCACCCCCCATAGCCAGCCCCCCCCCACCCCCGCCGCCACCACACACCCCCGCACCCCCCCACAAAACAACCCACCAACAACCCGCCCCCCCAACACAACACCAACCCCCCCACCCCGCAACCGCCCGCCCCACCCCCCACCCGCCCCCCCGCGCCCCCCCCCCCCCCCCCCCCCCCCACCCCCGCCCGGCCCCCCACCCGCCCAGGCCGCGCCCCCCCCCCCCCCCGCCCCCCCCCACCCGCGCCCCCACGAGGCACCCCCCACCCAACCCCGACGCCAAGCCACCCAACCGCCAAACGACGCACCCCCCACCAACCCCAACCGGCGCGCAGCCACGCGAGCCCAACCCAACACCCACAAAACCCAACGCACAGAAACAGGGCACCGCGCAAAGACCGACAAAACCAAGCGGCACCCCCCGCAAACCAACCAAAACACCCGCAACAACAAACAACAAACCACACACAAACACCGCAACAAACCCACAAGCAAAACGAACCCCCGCCCCCCCCCCCGCCCCACCGCCCGAAAAACAAGACAAAGGACAAGGAAACGGGGCAGAAACAAGAGGAAGACAAGCCAGGGGGGCAAGGGACCCAACGGGGGAGGGACAAAACACCCCCCCCCAGCCACCCGCAAAGACCAAAGCCACGCAGGAACCCAAAGCCCGAAACCAAACGCACGGGGCCCGCCCCGCCCCCGCCCCGCCAGCACGCAGACCAGCGCACAGCAAGCCCCCCACCCCCCCCCCACGCCCACCACAGCACCACCACACCACCGCACAAACGACCAACCAACACCCGAGTGAGAACCACCACAAAGCACACACCCCGCAAATAAACACACAGCGAACACACCACACCGCACACACCCGGCACCACCCGCGCACAGCACCCCCCACCAGCCCCCCCCCCCCGCAGACCTCCCCCCCCCCCCGCCCGGGGGGCACCACCCGACAACACCGCCCCCGCCCGCGCCCCGCCCCCCGGCAGACCGAGCCCGCACGCCCGGCCGCCCCCGCGCGCCGGGCCCGCCGCCCCCCCGCCGGCGGGCGGGGGGGGCGGGGGGGCGCCGGGCCCGCGCGCCCCCCCCGGGCGGGCACCGCGGCGCCCCCACACACCGCCCCCACCAGGGCCGCGACGAGAAGACACCCCCCCACCACCCCCCACAACAAACCCCCACAACGGCCCCCACACACGAGGCCGGCGGGCCACGCCAGAGCCCCGGCGGCACAGGCGAGGCGAGCGGGCGCGCACCACGCCCATCCACACCCCCCCACCACACACACACACACAATGACAACCCAATCCACCCCACACCCCCGCAAAAGCCCCACAACACCCCCAACCGCCGGCACACCCACAGACACCCCAGCCCCCCACACGAAACCACCCCGCCCCCCGCACCCCACCGACCCCAACCCCCCCCCCGACCACAGACCCACGACCCACGAGACGACAACAAAAAACACCAACAACACAAACAACACAACCCAAAAAAACCAACACAGACAAAAAGACAAAACAGAACAACACCCCACCCCCCCCCGTTGCCCTCTCCACCCATACCCACTCCCACTTTTTCACTCAACCTCTCCTCTCCTTACACCCCAATACTTCCCTGCTATTCCCGCCTTCGCCTTGCCTCTGTTTTGCAAGCGCTCCTCATAAAACCAAGATCTCATCCCCCATCTCTCCCCTTACCATACCTGTTCCCCATTTTCTGACTAACCCCCCCCCCCCCTCCAATCGTTATTTACATTAACCTGCACTTTACCCCTAATGATTAAAAAATATAAATGACTCTAACCAACCACCCCACCCCCCCCCCGGCCGCCCCCAAGGGCCCCGCCCGGGGGGCCCCGCGCCGGGCCCCCCCCGGCCCCACAGAGAAGGCCCACCCCCCCCCCGCCCGGCCCCAAAGACCCCCCGGGCCCGACGGCGGCCCCAGCCGCCCCAACGCGCCGCCACCACACCCCCCGCACAGCCGCCCGAGCCCCGAGAAAAGAGCCCACGCAGGTCGCCCACCACCCGGGCCCCCCGCCGACGCCAAGGGCACCGCCCCCCCCCGAAACCCACAACCACAAACCACCCGACACCAACCCCGCCCCCAGCCCACCCGCCACCCGCCAACAAGAACTACACCCGGACGCCACCAGCGCACCCAGGGAAACCCCCCCACGGCCGCCAGCGCGCCCCACCCAAAGAGACCCCCCCCACCCCAGCCCCGCCCGCAACCCCACCCCCCACACCCCAGCCACCGGCACAACAAAACCCCGCCAGCGTCGCCCAAAGACCACCCCCCCCCCCCCCCCGCAATACCGCACCCCCGCCCCCCACCCGCCCCCCCCACCCCCCACCCGCCCACCAGCCACCGAGCAACGCAGCCCGCCTACTTCAGACCCCCCCAATGGCCTCCTGGTGGCGGACTGATTCCAACTCACCCAACAACTACATACATTGAAGTGAACCTATAAAAACCTCATATATGTGGGTTGTGTGCCTGCGCGGTGCTAGTCATGTGTAAAACAACAAAACAATAGTTAGCAAGAGTCTGTGGAGAAAGAATAATTTTGCGGTGTCGAGTATAATCAATTATCTGAATTATTGTAATTTTATTTTATTTTAATAATTTTATTTTATGTTTATTATTATTTAATGCAGTCCCCATTTATCCCAATTCCCACTTACCATTTTGGCAAGTTATTTCGTTATTTACATGCAAGCAGTTTATACATATCTTTGATTAATATATTTTGATAGATATCATAACGTCAATACTCACACCACCTCTAGGTTGATTAATCTGACAATAACACAGGCCAAACTCACCCGTTCTTCTGATGAATTGTCCTTTATGGCTTAGGCTATGGTCAACAAATCAGTCTGGTGTCCCACTGAGCAGGTTCCTCGGGTTAGTATCAGTTGTCTTTCTGCCACCTTACCGCTCCACAGCTCGCAGTGTATCACTCTTTTAACATAAGATCGTATGCGCGGATACGACCAGAAATCCACCACCAAAACCATAGTGAGGAATCTTTCCCTGCAGCTTTCTCTCTCTGGGGTCACAATGACTCACCTCTCAAGTCCACTGTAATTTGTAAAGACCTGGTACACTATCCCTGCAATAATCCCAACCTTTGTAACATGGTAATTATATTTAGTGAAAGGTGTGATCTTGCAAACTCAGCAGTTGGTGTTAGTGGTGTCCAATCTTAATCCAGTAAATGCCACATATGTCGCCATTATATAATCTCTCGATGTCATTTGTCATGTCTACCAGATCATAATCTGAATACTTCTGCTCCCACTTTTTTCCCTTTGTTATACTAATGCGATAGTAAAAGGTTACCAGAATGCCATAATTACTCTCGCCTGTTGCCAACACAATTGAGCACCCCCAAATAGTATTGTACGCCTTTTTTGCACATGCTCCAGTTTATCCCATTCCCTTTTTGGTCTTATTTTTACCCTGTCAACTTTTAGGTTAAACTTTGTACATTCTTTCATCTGTTGCCTGGTACAAGAATGTCATGAAATACTCAGAAATAAGAGATTTGACCACCAGAGTTTTCTCCTTATTCCAAAACAGTTGTATGGTTTTGGCATATCCCCCCTGGCCTAACTCTGTTTCCCAGGCCCACATAAAAAAATCCAGGATATAATCCCTATACCTACCACCATACTCACCCACTCTCGATGTCCTCCAACCGCTAACAGAGTCTAGTCTCATAGGTCGCTATTCATGTTTGAAGTACACGGCAATGGTGAACACCGCACTCTTAAACGTCATACCCAGGCAATACCAGGAATATATGTAGGGTTTAGCATCTTATGAGTTGCTCAATTGCTCAGACTAAAATAGTTAGATTCTGGATCTTAACATGAATATTATAAATAGATATATGTATAGGTAGGAGGGAATGTAGTGAGATATATACATACCATCAATAATTATAAAAAAAACTATTCATATGCATCAAAGCACTACAAAATAAGATCCAATAATCAACTCAAGCCCTCCTAGGATGTTAGTCTCACAATCCTGGGATAAATTATACATCCCTTATAGAGGCCAATATCTCGTCACCCCCCACACCATTATCACTTATTACGGCAGCCAAACCACGGCATGATAAATGCAACTGGCCCCTTTGCATCAGCCCAATCCCAGCAAAGGGCCAAGGAATAGTGGCCACAATTCCTCTCAATCAACCTGAAAGTCCATGCGGACCAATAATTTCAAAACCCCTGAAGCCGCAAAATCTAAAATGGCAATATCCATGATATTCCAACATCCTGACACTCATCGCCCCTGACCCTTCATCAACCCAATCGCCTAGGTCCAGGGGATCCCCAAATCCCTGCCCTCCACCATACCTCCAATGTCTCAAAATCCTGATATCCAGACACTCCGAACCTCAGGGGCCCAGAACCGCAACCTCCCAAGCCTCCAAAGCTGGGAAGTCCCAGATGGGCCCCAAAGATCCAAAAGTCCTTCACACGCCCAATCAGTTCCAAAGGTCGCGCATACTGAGTGCCGCATTCACTAGTCCCTATGCACATCAGACACATTGCATCACAGGACTATCTGGAGGCGGACTCTATAGTGTGCATTATAGGGTTGCTACCCGAACTCCCTAGAACTACCCGCATGTATCTATACTAATAGAGTCAAGCGACCTTCCCTCGCTTGGTCCCCCATGCGTACGCCCTCCATTCTTCTGGATGATAGTAGAATGATATCTTTTCATTACATCAGCAGGCGAAGCTTGCTGGTGCACACTAGTGTGGGACCTAGTGTGGGTTATGTGCTCAAATTGAGGACCTCGTAGATTGTGAGCTCGTACTACAAGGTAATATTTTCAAAGAGTGTACTCGTAGAGTTGGGGGGAAGTTTCAAATGGGCCTGTCCAAGTTGTAGGCGGATGTCCCAACAATGTGTTCTGGTTTTTCGTCACATCACTGTAGCCTCCAACTGCGTAAGTCTGTCTTCATACAGCCTGCAAAGTGGGGCTCTGGAGATTTCCGGGTCAGCGAGTTGACAATGTTATCTTGGCAAGAAGAACACACTGTGACTGTAGTTCACCATGTTTTCATATAAGTTTCCCTATGATCTATCAGTGTGCTGCTGGAGTAGTGTGAGGCTCCATTGAAGCGATGGAATAAGTTCTGGGCATGTTGTCTCCCATAACATCAGTATGGAATGGCGTGCCATAAAAATTGGCCTGCTATGGTTCTCCTCATTTTTATTTCTTTTTTTTTTATTTTCTTTTTATTGCCATCAAGCATATAAGGCGCAGTGCGCTGTAATCCAAATGTCTAATTTTATCCAGACCTACCCAGATTGCCTATCAGTTTATTTTCAGTGTCCTTGGTATGTGACCCTTTCAACACACCCCTTGTGATTGCGGTTAGTCACTACTGCTTCCAAAAATCTGTTTTATATCAGCCTCCCAACATAGTTGAGCCATTGTCCCTGTTACTATTAAAATGCCGAGCCGTTATCAGATGCTTGATAACTCTCGCAGGCCGGACCTTGGAAAGGATCCTGAACATAAATACTTATTGGCTACTGATTCTGCAATTGCTTTGCCAAAGGATAAGAGTTGTCTTCGGGACCGCATCGTGTGATGGGTCAATCTTGTGAGCACGTAAACTACACCCATCCGCTTTCTTATACAGCATCATGTCGATGAAATCAATTACTGATTTCTAGCCCATGAGGGGGGGGCCCATGAGGCGCACTGGGATGCTACCTATGCCCTGCCTTCAACATCCCTTCTGCCTTAGACGAGCCCTTGACATATGTCACAGGAGTACACATAGATGCCGAATGGTTCTGGTACATAAAAGGATAGTCACATGGTGCGCCGTCCTATTTCCTGAAAAAAGTTTTGAGCACTTTATGTGTGTTTCCTACTAGCGTACTTTGCGAATGATCCTGTATAGATTTTTCTTTTTTAGTAAGTCACCGCACGGGTTTACCATATAGTAATTCATAGAAAACTCCTTCCACGGTATATAATTAATGGCCCCTGCAGTTTTCCATGCTGTCACATCATACAAGTGAGGGCTTTCTTGAAATGTGTGGACTGTTATCTTCTACTTTCTACTAAACTGGTGCCTCGGTACCCTCAGGATAGTCCTTCAATACACTGCCATCAGAGCCGTACCTATCCTGATCATACCCAGCTAGTCATTTATAGCAACTCTATCAGCAAACTCATTGTCCCTTTTCCACAAGTCTCTGGCTCTGAAAAAAGAGCAGAAGATAAAAAAGGAAGGATAATGCAGGAAGAAAAAAGAAAAAAAAAACATACAGAATAACACAGGGAAGAAAATAAACACAAACAAAAAAAAAATCGAAGTCATGTGCACTGCACTTGCCAACTGCATTTTGTGACGTACATTCTGATTATGGTTCCTGGCCACCTTGCTGCCATAATTCCAATGATATAGCGTCACAAATTTTTTGTTAGTTGTATGAAATGTGAGTCATGCAATACCCAGAGTGCAAGTGCAAAACACTGTAAGAATGCCCATAGCATCGAGAGTCAGTAAAAATATGTGATAGGGTTCCATCTGGCCGTCACCAAATCCAGCTAAATGGCTTCTAATTCTGCCTACTGAACTGACTTGCCCTGCCAGCGCTCTGCCTTCATTAGTTAAAATCAGGATATGTAACAGATGCTGTTTCCCTGTCAGTATCTGCTGCTCGCATGCAACCATGCATCCAGTATTTTGTCTCTATGCGAGTGTACCAGACAATAAAATAGCAGTGACCCCTCAAACTCTGACCTGCCCACACTTTATGTGAGCAAGTTAGTTTCTTCACATGTTGGTGAACCCTCACACTGTGTTGAACTGGGCCTGAGATAGTAATAGGTAATATTGGAGAGTCCGTGGTTCAAACATGTAACTCGCATATTTTACGAGTAACAGATGAATCTTTTGAGAACATTTTGAATTAGATCATGCAAAAGTGATTCCCTTCCAAAGCTAGCATACATGTTCTTGTATGGCTGTTCTCACAAAAAACCTCTGAGGTCCAAGAGAAAGTTGTAAGTGTAAACCAGTGTGAGTTCTTAAGGCCATTACCTAACGGTGCACATGAGAGAAGTGTGTGTGCTTCTGATCCTCATGAGATTGGAGCTGAATATGTACAATATATTGGGTGCATCTGCATATTTTTCTGAACAACACTGGCACAATAAATAAACTCCATCGATTGAATTTTCCATCATATTGGGTATTTTCCTATCAAACCGCAGTGTAAAGTCTGCACCATTGATAGTTTTCTTTGATTGATTTGAAATGCCTGTTGCTTGCTCCTCAGTCCATGTCAACGATCACCATCATAATCTGTGTAGCCTACATCAAAATCAACATATTTCTGCAAAGGTTTATTTATTTCT